TAAATTATAAAGTATCTCGTAGAGATAGCTCTCGGATATCGTAAAAAGTCTGAATAAAAGGATCGATCGCTTTTTCCAGGATGGCCGAGCTTTTCGAGCAAAGTAATAACTCGAGCCATGTCGGCCCACCCTACCCGAGGATAATCCTGTTCTTTGGAGTCCTCGCACACATCCGCCCCGCGACGCTACATCCTCTCGCGATCCTTTACGGATTTTCAGCGTTCTCGCGCGACTTCCGCACCAACAAAGTCCAAGGGGAGCGCGTGGCTTCCGGCGCTACTAGCCCTTAGGTAGGAAACTCGTTGGATCGAGATGGATTGAAAGTTTCACCTTTCACGGTTGAAAAGAAGGAAGGAGCTGCGGACTTCGCGAAACTTGCCGCTCACCGAATTAAGCATCGAGTTCGTGACGCCGGGAATTTCGCGTGCATAATTTCGCGTCGAGTCTGGCAGTCGAGATGGCCGAAACCGACCGATCTGCGCGAGATCGTAGCGGGACGACCGACGTCACATGGATGACAGTTCGCGTTTCACCTCACGTCAGGAGCGGGTGCCATTCAAATAATTGAGATTCCATTAATTGGGCCGAATAATTGAGGCTTGTGCTCTTCAAAGTATTAAATCAGTATATTCTTCATGGAAATGCTATACTTATGTAAGTAATACTTATTAAATTCAGTTATAGTGTAGCACTGCAAACAGTAGTATCTTGCAGAAAAGACCAATTAATAATAGCTATTGTTCCCATTATTGATACAATTTGTCAACACCCGCAAGAAGCTGTTAATTCCATCACCGCAAACGCAAAAAGGATTTGCTATGGCGTGTCTAACGAATTTGTGTACTTGAGATTTTGCAATGAAACTTTGCTTCTATTGGTAAAAAATAATGAAATATAAGACGGAATAATAAAGTAGGAGCGTTTTCATTAAAAATCAGCAAATACTCACTGATTGTCGGATAAAGTACTCCTTTTACCGATTCGGAAACAATTACTGATCCACATTAAGATAAGTGAACTTTGGAAAGAATCGCGCTAACACCAAAATCACGAAAAAGACGCAATAAAGAAAACAATTCTGTAGCCAATTGTCCTCACGTGGCCAATTGTCTCCTCTTTTTTCTTTCGCAATACATTGGAAAAATATATATCGTATTTTGCGTAAACAACAATTATCATGTATTACTTTTAATACGAAACGATTCAAAGGCACGACCGCTCTGCCTCGACAAAAGTCACGGGTCTCACGTGGGCCGCGCGTGGGCGAGTTTACACGAGTGCCCACGTGGACTACGCGCAATTACGTCGCGTCCTCGCGCCTTGAGCTGCCCGACGCCTACGTGCGCGCTCGTGTGTCTCCAAAATCGATTTCGGAGAAGTCTACACGAGAAGAAGGACTCCTCGTGGATATTATTAACGACTCGACGTTTCCGCCGCGACGATTGAAAAATCACGTCGTTAATTAGGTCGTTGCAGAGCGTTACAATTAAAGCTTTTCGCCGAATCGGCGCTTTCGCGCACGGGGCCGGAAATTGACAGGCGATACCAACTGCAGCGGGAGGGAGAGGAGAAAGAGAGAGAGACAGAGAGAGAATAGTGAAGAGACGCATCTAGCTGGCATCTATCTCGCGAATGCGAACCCAGCTGACAGGATGATGCAAAACGCGGCGGGAATAGCGCGCGAATTAACGTGCACGCGCGAATGCGCTCGGGAGAATCGAACATCTCCCCGCGGGGGTTCGGCGCATCCACTGCACGTGACGGACATGCGATTGCACTATTAGCAAACGTGCGGCTCCGTTATCCCACACGTTCGTTACTCGGAGCGACTCGCGAAAGATAACTCGTGCGTCGCGAAAGTATAATCGATATTGTGTAAAATTACATTTACGCGGCGGACAAAGGACGCCGGACATCACGGCGGTTCTTCCCCCTGCGACAGCTTAATTGAAAGCTTTACACGTGGGCGTTTTATGAGGGTGCACGTGTTTTTATATAAATGAAGCGTCCCGACGGGAACAAGGCAGTTCTTCAGCGCACAATTAATATGGCGTCAAAAAGCTCGGGACACTTTGATATTTCACTTTTGATGCTTTTTATATAATGTCTCTGTGTTGGTCTTTGTGACTTTTGCTTCAACTTGCGTTACTTTGATTACATTTGTCAGTGCGAGCGTTCATGGGTCTTTGTCGGAGCTCAATGTGCGAGCGTGAAATCGCGCAAGTGTGCCTTCGAATTGTGTTCTAAAATATTTGTCGCCTCGCCGGAGAACTCATTACTCGGAAAATATTATTCGGCAAGTTCGCGCTCAAGCATAATATTTTTCGAGCTCCGCTTCCGCGCGAGCGTCTGAAACAATATTATCCTAGGAAAATCGCAATTGATGTTATCGCGACACATCAAATCCGATATTTATAATGCGCTTACCCCCGGGTCAAAATTTTGCTTCTATATATATTAACTTTGCAGGTTTTGTTGAACTTGAAGAAGCCACAAAGAATCTCGTGTTATAGCATTATAAAGACTGTTGTCTTAGCCACTCGCAAGTGTCAACAAGATTAGACTTGCGAGGGGCGTTATTAGCACGTTCGCATACTACGGTTTTTCCTTGGTACTTTCTTTTTTTTATATAATTGTGTAAAACAGACTCAATTTGATAATGTGGGCATAAAAAAAAAATTTTGTTTTCCATTTGTGACGGTCTCTGGTCTCTGATCAGAGATGGTTGCGTCACGCACTGAGAGAAAAGATATCTAAGAAATAAAAATACTCAAGTATGAATAATATATTTACTTACACTATAAAATATTTTTCAAATAAGAAAATATATATCTTAAATATGTATCTTATCTTAGCTTTCCATGAAAGCAATTGTTTATTCTAGTTAAATAAAAAAATTTAGATAAAAGTAAATATGTTAATATTTACTATTTTTTAGATATGTTTTTCTCACAACGCACACATATAACATTGATAGCAAATGTGTTAGACGTACAAAAATAATTCACATTTGTGAGATTTGCACTGAATTCTATAAGGCCGCCACTCAATAGTCGTAAATTATAATTCTATGAAAATTCTTTGAAAATTATAATTCTATGAAAATTCTTTGTTTGAGAACATGAATAATCGCAGATATTTATGGACCATTTTTCGATTGCAAGGATTAATGTTTCTTGTTACATGAAATACGGCTTAATTAGGGGTTTATGAAACTCTAATTGTCACTCTATGATTTGTCAAATAATGACAGATAATGAGTGCCGGCCTAAATTATTCGGAATATCTCCTTATTCACGGCAAGTTTATAATGTATGATTCGACACACCTGGAACACATGATGTATCGTTGCCCACATTCTGGCGCACTACATCTTACTTCCCCAGTTGTTCTGCCAGAGCACTCGACGCACTTTCTCATGGCATCGACATTGGCACTAGCACTGACACTCGCGTGGGTACGATTCAAGCGGAGAAACACGTGTTGATTAACGCGACGATAACGAGAATCCGACTAAATATTTCGAGAGTCGCCGGAAAGATAACTAACGCGCGTCCGTACGCATACACCACGTGTACGTCGTTCGTCAACTTGAGGCACAATGACTCGGTCACGAAAAGATACGCGACATATAAGAAAACCAAAACAATCGGCAAGAAGGGCAAAAACATTCCCCGTCAGTTGCGTACCGTCGTTGCCCGCCAATCAATGTCACGGATGTAATCTCAGTGATTGAGAGATCACAAAAATCAACGCTCGTAAAACATTTCGCAAGTTTCATTTCAAACTGGCCAACATTTTCTTACTTTTGTTTAAAAGATTATTCTGCTATTATACTAAATTTAAATTTAGATATCTGTCATTATTGCTTGTGCGTATATTACTATTATTTTTATCCTTACCACTCTTTCCTCTTCATTCTATTTCAATCTCCAAATTCTATTGAAATTTCCAATACCAAAAGAAGAAAGGTAAACAGATTATGTAATATGAGAGTTTGTTGTTATTATTTACTCTCGTTAATTTCATTATTTGCTTATATTAATTATTCAATATTTGCTTATTGTGCATATTTTAATTGCATATTTTGTGTACATATTTTAGCTGTCAAATACATTACTTAATAATTACATTATTCATTGAAACTAAAAGAAGATTAAATACAGGTAAAATATATCGAGATAAACGAATACTAAACAATTCTGGAACAAGCCCTTTCAAAGCCTCGACATGTAGGAAATGCAGAATGATCATACGCGGCATGAAATGTGGAACAATAACCTATATGATGTTACATCTCGAGATAGCCGTTTGGTCCCTCAAATTCAATAGAATTTTCCGAGTTAATGTAAAAGTAAAATTGCAGCTTGGATAGCCTCTCCTGTATTTCATCACAGGATTGCAACCGACGGAAGCAGCCGGTGGTTGTGACGATACGCCCTTTTAATAAAAAGAGTAGGACCGCGGGCGCAGCGTTGTGTTAATAAACGTGCTGCAAGGCGGAGTGCAAGAATGGCGATTTGAAGGGGCGCAGGATGCCACTAATGAGCGCGAGATACGCCGAGACACGTAACACTCGTATCGAAGGCTTAAATCTAATCCCAAGGATGCGCCTGATAGGCCGCCCCGCGAGACTCGCGTATGCAGAGCACGTATAATGGAATACCCGGCGGGTTTCGATCGGGAGCCAATTACTAGCGCAATCGAACGGCACGGTAGCCGCGCACAACCTAGTAAACTTAACCGCAGGATTTAAACGGACAGGGCGGCCGCTCGCGCGGCCCGTTCTACATTTAAGGCGAATTCATTCGGCCGCCACGAAATTGCCTCCGTCGTTCGTTTCACGTTCGATCGGCCGAGACACGTCGCGGTGTACCATCAGCAGAGTTCCTGACGGAAGCCGGACAGTCGAGTCTCGGAGAATGTCGCATTGCGAACGTTGGAAAATATAGCGGAGGAAAACGTCGCTTACGTAGGTAAGTGGGTAGGCAGGTACTCACCTGTTCGTCGTATTGTGCGTCAGGAAGGACTTCGGCAAAGACAAGGATCGCTGGTGAGGATCCAAGGCGACGTCGCTCGTCAGGGAATCCTCGCCCCTGGTGGGCGCGCTACCAGGCCTGGACAGCGTGCCGTCTTTGGGCGGCTCTATCAACGTCTTTAGGGAACCGATCACGGCGTCCTCCATCGGCGTGGACGCGCCTGAACTTTTCGCGTTTCGCGGACTCTTCGTCACTGTGCGATCCGATGTGGTGACCCAAATGTCACTGCTGGAGGACGACAGAGTGTTGGTCGACGAGGAAGCGATCGGGCCACTGGGCGATCGGCTGATGTTCATCCCTTGAATGGGCGACACCTTCCTGTCCTTGTTATCGGCGCTCTCGAATGCGCCCGGGAACTCGGGCTTCCGGTACACCCGGTGATGCATCTGATCCCTCTTCTCCACTCCGGAACCTACGTTTGGACATCGATCCGTGGGTAATGTATTAATTCAACGAGATTCACCTTAAGATATCTCACGATATACGAGTTATTCACCTTAAGATATCACGCTTACTCTACATTAAAAAGAGAATGTCTTCCGAGTTTAGAGAAAAAGATGTTCATTGAGAATCTGTTCCTGAGTTAGAAAAGAAGTTTAGTCTAATTTTTCGGTAGCTAAAAATTAATGTTATCTCAGTAAATGTACAACGAAGCAGCTCGATACAAACCGTTACTGTTGGTTCCCTCCAACGGCGACCACTTATTAGCCTGCTTCAGCACGCCCTTGGGTCTCTCCTGATACTTCGAGTTGCTCTGTTGGCTACTTCTGTTCTTCCTCGCATTGTCTCTCTCGCGAAGCTCGCGTTCATCCATCCGCTCCAGGGAGGCCGGTGAGGAACTGGCGCTGCCTCGGTGGCTGCCGGCGTCGGTGGAGAGCCGCTGATGCGCCGGATAGCTCTGCGACAGCTTCATAAAGACCGGCGCCTGATTCGGCGAGTACAGACTTTCTCTCTGAGAGCAGTGAGGCCAGAAGTCGCAAGTGCTGCTGTTGCAGCGTAGCTTCGTGTCCGGACTGAAGTCTTGGTTGGTGGACGGCGTGTTCGTGTTCGGCGTCGTGGCGCCTCTCTGCAACGTGCGCGGTCGTCTGGATTGTTGCTGTTGTTGTTGTTGCTGCTGCTGCTGCTGCTGCTGCTGTTGCTGCTGTTGTTGTTGCTGCTGCTGTTGTTGTTGCTGCTGTTGCTGCTGCGAGGGATTGGATACTTTCGACGACTGCTGCTTAGAGGATATGATGTAGACATCGTAGGTGTTGTTGGAATTGCCTCGCCTCTGTTCTTGAATCTCCTCGCGACGTTCGTAGCGGCTCGACAACAGGTTTCTCGGCACAACGCGACTTCGCGTGCCGTACAGGTACTCGGTCACCACTTCCGCCTCACGCAGAAGATTCTCGTTCACGGCGTCGTCAGTAGATTGAGCTTTCCCTGGATGATTCGAAAGAGACGATCGAATACGGAAGTGAGACTGGCCGCTTGATCCGTTTGATTTTTACCGCCGATATGGCGCTAATCATACTCTTTAAAGACACTTTCTTCCACTTTCTTCATTTTTTTGGATATATCTCGTTAAGAGTTTAGAGATAATAAATATATTCAAATATGTTATATCTGAACATTAGTTATCTCCAAGAGATACGTCATTGCATTTTGCGTGATACGTTAAATAAAGAAAGAAGATAAGATACCGCAGATACTGTATCTGAAATAGTTATTACGAATAGAGTTCAACGTTGCGGATATAAGTTTGTCGGACGTGATTGTTATTTTTTCACGAGAGCAGTTTCACATAAAATATACTTGTAAGCACCAATAGTCCGCGTCTATACACTCGTAAAATATTCGATATACGCGCGTAAAATATCGAGAGTCGACATATAGAATATCCATAAAGTGGTACTCACGGTTCTGAAGAACATGACGCTTGGATCTCTCGCCTCCTCGATCATTCACGATCTTCACGACGACTCTGTGAGCTTCGTTTGAATGATCCCTCTGAGCGCCAGTCGCTCCTGGTGATCGCTTCTCCGGCAACTGGAGGCTCCTGGATCTTCTGACCCGAGATTGATGCGAATCAGGTGACATCTGATTGGTCCTGGCACTTTGATGCTGTCTCGGAATATTAGCTCTTCTGAAGGGATTAGGTGTGGATGACCGTCCTTGTCGCCCCTCGCTGCTTGACGAAGAAGATGATGAAGAGGGCGAATTGAACATTTGTTTTCCCGACTCAGAGGAACCCGGAGATCTTCTGAGCCCCTGTTGGCTTCTGTGTATTCTCCTATATATAACACTTAGACATTTTATTTCTTGATAAAGTTACGGCAAATTTTCGCTGCAAAGCGTATCGTGGAGCAATCCACTTTCTACCAAACAAAAAGGAAAATAATTGCGAGAATTAAGCAGATTTAAAATACAAAATAAAAGCAAATTAAAATAAATAATTAAATCCGCAATACGATTAATCCGAAATTGATTACTAAACGTTCGTTGTGCGTGTAAAAAAAAAGTTTTTTGGACCGAATTTTTGCTTATTATCTTTCGCAAGAAAAAAAAACTCTGCCTCTACAAATTGCGTCAGTTTTCGTATTGCCTACACTTGCCTGTTGGGCGAAATCCGTTCGCCATTGGCGCGAATCGACTCTGTGGACGAGTGCAACGCGACGGCCGATGACGACACCAGGCTGAGATTTAAGGAAGAGCTGGGATTGTCGTCTTCGTCACCGTCGTCATATCTAACACCGAAATACCGATATATATTCTGCATTCGACGTTTTTTAAGTTCCGTTCAATTGTACTTTCACTTCGCATACTCTCCAGCTACTTCGACATATCCCATCAGTCCACATTTTATTTATTTTCACAACGCAAACGTCTATGTTGATTTAAGACTGCTGTGCAACGGATATCTACCCTAGTCTATCGAACGTTATTGATTAACGTGCAAAATACAGTCAACGTTAATCGTTAAGGGGTCAAATTAGTCGACAAATTTCAAAGGATCGCTCGTGAAGTAATAAAAATCATGTACCCTTCTACTGAAGAATCCGTGTTCTCCGCTAAGCTAGGCATGATGGACTTGGTGACGCAGCTGTCGAGACTTCTGAAGCCCATCGATGACGACGACGAGCTGGACGACTCGATGTACCTCTGCGCGAATTGCGACCGTCTGGAGGACGACTGATCCTCCAAAGATTTGGCCTGCGCCATACGATATTGCTGTTGCTGCTGTTGTTGCTGACTGGAGTTCTGCCGCTTCGACCTGGCGGACGCTGAGGCAGAGTTCTTCCTGGACGCGGACGGCAAAGAGCTCCAGCTGACTTGGTGCGACGGCGGCGGCGGTGACGGCGGCGGACTGATGATATCGCTGTCGACGATGGCGTTCGATCGCGGCAAGAAGGGAGCCTTGCCGTAGCTGCTGCGCCCGGAATGGCGGGACGACGATTTCCTGCCGACTGCGTCTTGGAACGCCGGCGGCGGCGATATGATCGGCGTGACCGACGGCGGTGAGAAGGATTCCGGGATATTGTGAGGCGACGTGCAGGCGCTGGTGGTTATCGAATCGTAGTCTTGATTGTGCAGGGCGAGGTAGTCCGGTCTTTGGGACTCCAATCTGGAGTACTCCAACGGACACTTGCCCGGCTCGCTGTTGCAGTGGTAGTCCGCCAGCTTCACCGCCGCTCGTCGTGGCAACGGCAGGGTACCGGTCGTCGCGCTCACCAGGTTATCATAGTTTGACCGGCGGTTGTCGTCCAACGACCGCTGCTGCACTTGCACCCAGCCGGAGCGGCCGAGGTAGACGCCGTCGACTTCTTGATCGCACCATCGCACAGGCGACAACTCGCGGCTGCAGTTGCCGCTGATGAAGAGTTCACCGGACGTGCCGCTGTTGCCAGACAGGAAGGAGTTCGTGGCCTCGCGCCGTCGGGAGCTGGAGATCTATATGGGAGAGTCTCGCGTTGCTAACAGACCAACTACATCTAACTTCCATACTGCTTGTGATACTTTGTCCTTAGTAACTTGTCAATAATAAACTTGCCCACAACGCTTTGATTTGGATAACATAATTAATATACAGCGGGCTCCATTAAATCCCGATGACGAAGCGACGAAGCCGTTGCGGTTAAAAGCGCGCGCTATGGCCTCGTCATTAATTTCCATCGCGCACCTTCGCGGTGATTAGAGCAGAAGCTGATTATAAACCGGTATAGAGTCGTTCTCGTAAATATTAATGAATGCTAACCGCGACTTAAGTGTGATTCTCTTTGTAAGGACAGGACCGGAAAGAGACGAGGAGAAATCAGTTAAACCCCACTTAACTTTAATTAATATCCACGGGAACGATCCGTAGTTACCTTTCTCGACTATCGGCTCGATCTCTATCTCTGATATTGCTATATAAGCCGGGAGCGGGGCATATCTGACAAGAAGAGCGCGATTGCACTTACTTGACCATGGCTATCTTGGCGATGCTTGAGGCTTGATGTCGACGTGGTCGACGTGGATGTATCGTGACGTTTCAGAGAAGGTATCGAACTGCCGCGGCTGTAGGAACCGCGCGCACTCCCACCGGATTTTCCTCTGCCGCCAGTCTGACTCTTGTTGCTGCTGACGCTGTACGAGGAGCCTTGAGAGCCGACCTCCCAAGGGTCCGTCGCATTGCGAAGATGGAGGATCGACACGTTCGGGCCCCTGCAACCGAAATTTTCCTTCCATCGAGTCTGGCTTAGGACGCCAGGGATAATGCATCGCGCCTGCCGGCGTGAACGCGTAACACCGCTTATCTTTGAAGGAATAAAGTGCCCGACAGCCGATTAGCATCCGCGCGGCTATGTTGGGATACAACGGCATAGGTGTGTGTAACGCATAGGTGGAGTACGCGGTTGACTTTCGTGTTATACGACCTTTTCTTACGATACGTCACTTAACGCGCGCTGTTTATAAGGCCGCGTGAATTATTTAATCAGTTTTTTTTTGTGGAAACTAACTGAATAAAGGCTCTACGAAAAACAATGTGCAAATAGGAGAAGTAAGAATCAGCGTCGATCTTGGAGCGAGACTGCGTATAAACATAAGTCATTTATTACCTATTATTACACAGTTGAATCAAATTATTATCACATTTACAAGATACTTGTTCTATTTGCATGTTGTTCAACATCTTTTAGTTTCGTGAGAATTCTGTATCGGAAAAGAGATATTGTGCATAATAAATTGTAACGGTCTGAAGCACCCGTTGTGTATAGCTCTATGCGAAAATCGTAATTCTTTCCCCGTAATACGCTGCGCCATTGAGAATGAGAACGAACGAAATCGTAACTATGCGAAAGTACCTTCTGTTTTTTTGTTCGCGCCGCTGTATAAACGCGCACCTCGTTTCTCTATCTCTTTGCTTTGCCATCATCGAATCTAGAATCTCACTTTACTTTGTTGCAAAAGGAAATCGACTTGCGGTGCACTTTAGCATCCCCGGAGATTTTACGCGACAGTCGGTGTGGGAAGCCTCTCGCCTCCGTCGACGTCTCGAAGTGAGATAGATGCGCCCGTTTTTGCTTGTCTTCTCTCCCTCTCTCTCTCTCTCTCTCTCTCTCTCCCTCTCCTTCTCTTCCTCTCCTCTATCCGACGATATTTATATCATGCTCGCGGCGCGACGATGAATATTTATATAACAAGATTGTACATACTACACCAAGAAGCGCTAGGAAGAAGAAAGACAGAGACTGTGGCGGAAAGGAGGAGAGAGAGAGAGAGAGAGAGAGAGGGAGAGAGAGAGAGAGAGAGCGCGCGCGAAGTTGGTGCATCCAGGTTGCATCGCGTGCACCTGTGCGCCGGCTAAGAACCCGCGGCGATGTATGAAAGTCAGATATCCGGATAATTTTCCTTGGAAGTACATGCCGGCGACCTTTCCCTCTCCCCTCTCCTTTCCCCTCAGCACGCACAAATGCATCTCTTGCTATTTGTTCCTTCCTGTTTCTCCTTCTGTCTTTCAATCCCACCTCGTCTTTTTCTCATTGCGTCCTTCCTCTTCTCGTAAGAAGCCTCGCGAGTTTTTCGTCATACGGGAAAAATTGCGCTGTAAACCGCCCTGAAAATATTACGCTACCCGCTATGTATACACGAGAAGATAGATATGTTTTCGCGTGGGTAAAATTGACAAGGAAGAAGCCTCTGAACGTAGGTGGATCGTATGGATCGTTTTCTGGAAAGGGCGGCCAGCGAGTAAAAAAATAGAACAATCGCCGCGCTCGATGAAACCAGCACGATCGACGTTTTCGTCAAACGGCCCGGGTGAGATTTGTCGTTCGTCCAGAGACTCGACCACCTTTGACGTCGTCTGTGATTAACGCCCGCGATCAAAGAAGTCACACGCCGCAGGAGACGTACGAGAAATGCTCGCGAAAATGAAATTCCCCGGAGGGCTTCGGATCGCGTCTCAAAGTCTCGCTGCTGCCGCTGCTGTGCTATATTAGACGCAATTTTGACTCGGACGGGTAAATTCAAAATTAGCCGCTCGAGTGCACTCGAAAAGCTCTCAGCCGGGAGACTTATCGGAGATGTGGGATTTTACGGAAGCTCGGACTTGATTTGGCGGGGCGCTGAAAAGAATTATTAACGGGAAACGCATGGGATTTACGAGGGGCGTGAAGCTGGGTACGATTTATGGGAGCATTAATTAATTTCAGCCAAAGACAGGAACGCCCGTAACGGTGAAACTAGGTGACAAAGCATATTTCGGATATGTTATTCGCCGCGAATAATCTCTCGTCGATATCGCCTCGCGTACGGCTGACGAAACGCGCCGAATAATTCGGCCGGTCGTTATCGAGTGGGACGAAAATATCTGTCCCCGATTAATCATATTTACCTCTTAACCGACATGATACGTGGGGTCGTCCGCTTTTCCTTTGATCGCGCTGGTGATTGAAATAAATCCGTTCTTCAAATAGAACGAATCGTCGGACTTCAAACAGAACAAACGAGATGCAACTGACACCCTCTCTTTCAGCCCGCAATTGCGCACATTTCCGTCAATATAATCGTCACATCGATAAACAATCTCTCATCTGTTGTATTTGATTGACTTCTTCATACACTGTCGGGGTGATGATCATTTACCTCACACGTGCCGGAAAACTGTTTCGCGGGATTGCGGCGTGCGTTTGCGTCCGCCCAATTAATTTACGAGCCACGAACGCGACAGTGATTTTATCGCGCATGGTGCAGTGCCGTTTCACGAAGAACTCTGGTTACTCCTGCGGATTAATTAACGAACAATCGACCCGAGAATCGACGTTATTCCACATTTGCCGCCCGCGCCCGATGAATTTTACATTCCTCCGTGTAAACAGGTTGCGCCTGGCGGCGAGTATCCGACTACATGAAGTGACTCAAGAAGAGAACACGTCGGAGCGGGTCCATTGGACCTCATGAAAGTTACATCGTACGTAAGCACCGGCACCGTTCTACGCGGTACCGACGACGGTGAGTGCAAACACGAAGGGTGTAAGGATCGAACGAATGTCTTCGCTCTACCACCTGACGCTCCGCGAGATCAGTTCCGTCGTCGACGGCTTCCTCGGCGATGTGGGTGCACGGTGTGCGATTTCACCGCACATGCGATTCTCACTGCTTTCTCGGTATGCCCGATTGCCAAACGATTTGCACACTTTTTTATCGGATAAGTGGCAACGCTTCAAGTTGTCAGACTGCTGATATACATGCGCGCAGTAATCATTTATAAATATATGAGAATTACCTCTCAAAATAACTTTTTAATCTCAAATAAGCTTTCCCTTCCAATTTTCACAAATGTCACATTCTGCACCGTCACTTCCGCTCCTCTCATAATCGATTACTGCGCGTACATACACGTCAGCGGCTTTCAATCCTGACAACTTAAAGCGTCGCAATCTCATTCGATAAAAAATGTGCAAACGAGTATTCCTTCGTTCGCGAAATTCTCTCGATCGCGTACACTCGGCGCAACCTTGTCTCACCTTGTCGTTCCAGAGACCATCGCGTACGGGGAGACGCACGATCATCGCAAAAAAGAACTCAAAGATCACTCCTGCGTCGTCAGGAGCGGACTCGAGGGACAGAGCGACAAGAAGCGCGATATTACCTGTCGCTACGCGAGATAGGGCCCGCGTTGCTGATCTCGCTTGTATCCGCGGCCGGACTGACTCTCCGCGGCGGCAAGGCGGGAGGTGCGGCCTGACCGGGAGCTTGGCTCGAGGACGAGGTCGAAACGGGCCCTCCGACGCCCACGCTACCCCCACGTACCCCATCTTCAGCCGAGTGTTGTCTCGAGGACTGCGAGTTCTGTGACAGCCAACGGCGTCCGACGTTTCGCGTCACCACCGTGGGCCCACCAGGCCCTGGCTGATGACCTATCGTGCTCCCACTATCCAGCGACGTACTCTGTAACCGAAATTCAAGGTCGTTCTACGTGGGCGCTCGTGAACGAAACGAAATCTGTGGGATGTAGCTTCACTGAAGCTTCACTGATCGGACTGTGTGTCGCGTTGTCACTAGATATGATTTGAGAAGTGGTACTTGAAACTCTCTTTCAATTTGGATTTTACTGACAAATGTGAAGTAGTTGAGTTTCTGATCGAAATCTTCGACATAGTTTAAGAGACGGTATGTGAACTTTTCAGAGACTGGCTCTCTCTTTCTCTCTCTTTCTCTCTTTCGATTTGGATTTTACTAGCAAATACGAAGAGATTGTGTTTCTAATCGAAATTTGATTATACCTGAATTATACATAAGCCAGAGGGAAAATGAATCTGAGGAAAAGTACTGTTTGTCAAGACGTCAGCTCATAAAGATGCAGTATTCGCGATTAAACCGGCAGTATTTGCCGTTTTTCCCGACATCTTCGGGAGACAATTCCCGAAAAACGCCTCCAACGAACAGTCCCGAAAACGCCGTATCTCACACCACGGCACAGTTCCCGAAGTTACCTTTTCTTCTCCGCCGCTATTGGACTCCCTCGTTAACTGCGCATCGTTAGCGGGAGCTATCATCGCCAGCCATGATCATTATGAAATTGTGTCAATCGCTAAGGGGGCCCGCGCTAGGGCACCATTATCGTTACATCGACCGCCGAGCTAAACCCGCGGCCGTACGCAAGAGGCCGTTTCTACTTCCAAATACGGCCGAAGCACGTACGGACGGCCACGACTGGCGCAACTCCGCGTGTGTCGATGAGAAAGTATTTTTATTCTCGTCCTGGTCGCGGGAGGAGAGAACCTGAACCCGTCCGCGCCGCCGCCGCCGGCCGATCTGTCGCCGCGAGGTTGAAACGTGCGTATCGTTTTATCGACTTTCATTACTCCGCGCGGACCAATATCCCTTTGTGGCGCGATTTTAAAACAGCTGTCCGTCAATTCATTTACGATGTCGCGAATGCACGAAAACAGATTACAGAGACGAGTGGTTTTAAAATAACATACAGGAATTCACTGCGACGCGGCAGGCAAGATAGTTCGATTGCACTCGCTTGTTTCACGACTCGGTTAAAATGAGTAACGATAAATCGGCGACCATGTCAATGGGTAAATTTCAAAAAGAGAATTTCACGTCCTTGTATGTACTAGTTAAATGGAAAACGGTTCAGACACAATGAAGTTGGGAGCTGACCAAACTGTCAAAACTAATAGTCATTGTCGACTGCTTGTCCAATAATTGCATCATTATAATTATTATTATTAGAATTATTATTATTTATTTTTCTTGTTTTTCTTATATTAACAATTATATTATATATCGATAATAATTCTCAATTTTAATAGTTTAATTATTTTGCGACTCACTGCATACAATTCGTGAAAATAGCCTGAACATTTTATGACACTAGTTCCAAACGAATTTCTCGCAATACGTGTACATATTCGTGCATCATGACTGTTGATTATTTCGAGGAAACGACTCCGTCAAAATAATCAACGGTCACACTGCAAGAACACGTACACACATTGCGCGTGATCGAGAGATTCGTTTGGAACTAGTGTCATAAAATGTTAAGGCTATTTTCCCGAATTGTGTGTACAATCAAGTGTAGAGTTATTACGTACATTCACGTGATTCTTCCTGGACGTAACGGTCGAGTCCTGCGAGGATCCTCTCGCGTAGTGCCGAGCGAAAACCTCGGCGAGCCTGGACCTTCCCGAACTCGTCGCATTTGACTTGGACTTACTTGGCGGCGAGCCATCGGGGCCGCCGGCCAAATTTGGATTACTGCTCTTGCGCTCCGGAAACACTAAGTGCTCGATGTTCGGCGTGTATCCAGGATCGCTCCTGACGATATCCTGGAGTGTCCGGCGACTTCCCGCGCCGGGCCCGCCGTTGCTGAAATGAATCGCACGTGCCAACGCGGCCGATCGATTATCTCGCCAACGACGACGTTGAATTCGAGTCGGTAACGCGGGCAGTTTTAGCTTCAAGGGTACAATCTTTTCGAGCGAGCTTTCAAGACACGCGAATGCTTTCGTCCAAATGAACCTCAAGCTGTTTTCATAATTACGGAACAACAGGAATTCTCGGCATGTTCATCGTGCAAACCAACCTGGGCCTGAAACCGTGAGACTGCCTCTGCCCGCGTCTCTTCCCGCTGCCATGTCCGGGCTTGATGTTTGTCGCCTCGGCCAATTGCAGCAAACGGCTGCGATGCTGCTGTAACAGCGGGTCTTCCGGACGATTCATTCTACCCTGCGCACCTGGAATCCCGTCGTTCCTGCATCCTGGAAGAGAAAGAGAAAAGAGTGTAGTGAACTCACACGAAAATTTTCGTACTTGCTTTCTTTTACAGCCCTATGTAGCGCGACCACTTTTATTTTTGGCGCAAACAACATATTTTTGCTACCGTTACTTTGAAACCTCTCTAGCGTGATAATGGATTAAAGGGTTGTTTTGAGGATAACAAAGTTCCACGGGAAAAAATAATTGAAGCAGTTATCTGAACAAGAGAATTAACATAGGAGCTTTATCAACGCTGATAGAAAAAAGAAGCAGGAGATTTCTAAACAATGAGTGAATTAAAATTGTTTGTAACAATATCCGAATGAGACGACGAATGACTTCTCTCTCTCTCTCTCTCTCTCTCTCTCTCTCTCTCTCTCTCTCTCTCTCTCTCTCTCTCTCTCTC